CCTGCTGGGCTCCGGCGATCCTTCCGCCTCAGCCTTCCGTGTAGCTGGAATTACAGGCGCACGCTACCACGCCCGGCCAATTTTTTAATTTATTGTAGAGATGAGGTCTCACCAAGTTGCCCAGGCGGGTCTCGAACCCGCGGGCTCAGGCAATCCACTCACCTCAGCCTCCCAAAGGCGCGGGATTACAGGCTGAGCCACCGAGCCCGGCGTCATTTTTATTTGTAATCCTTCCTACTAATAATCATTGCAGCCTTTCTGCTATGTAGCTACTTTTTCTGGAATCTACAACAGTGTTTAACCTTATCTTGACTGACCAATACCACTAATGAAATTCAGAATAATCTGTTTTAACTATCTAATTGTTAAAATGTTAGATCTAGAAGGGTCCACTAAAAATAAATTAATCCAATTCTTTATTTTAAGATGAAATACTAAAGTAAAGAAAAGGTTAATTTGTAGCAGTTACCCTAGTATTCTTGACTCCTTTTCACATCAAAAGTTTAGTTTCATTTTTCTTTGTTTCATACATTGGCCAATAAAATAAATCATTATTCTTATGCCATCATGTTTTTACTTCTGAAAATTCAAAGAATGTTTTGAAATGCAACTTCCTATAACTTCTTTGCTTTCTATTGTCATAAGAGGTAAATTCAATCTTAAAATACAAACAAGTCTGTCTATTTTTTCCTCATAAAGTGTTTAACTTTTTCCCACTTATAATGGCACTAAATTCTTTAAGAGACAAGCTACTGAAAACTATACACTTTAACTTCAGTTTTGGATGCCTGAAACAAATTCCAGCATATTTTAAGAAACAGTAGTATAATTTTATAGCTGTTTCTATGTTGTCATCCAGAAGTTCTCTGGAAATATGATTTGCTCAGTATTTCAACTCCAAAAAACCATGAAAAGGGACCTAGGAGCACATAACTGGACTATATAGGAATGATACAACTGAGAAAAATAGAATGGCCATATTGTGGATGAGTGACTGGATTTTCAGGAGAACAGTTAGCTTTTAAGTTAATTTTTTTTGTTACAGACCTTAGTCATCAATTTATTTTCTAAAGAAAGGCCTCATGCACTATATATTAATGCCAAGCTCAAAATGATAAGCTGTTTTCTAGATTTTCCTGAACTCTTTACTAAATTGTTTTACCCACCCCACTTGAACTTGATTTATTAAATTTTATACTTTCAATCCAAAAGTAACTCACATCAAGAGTTACTTAAAAAGAAAAGTATGTTTCTCTTTCATTAGATCAGTGACAGGAAGTCAAGCCTCTAATATAATACAGGGGTAAAGAGTCCTATATCTGTACTATTACCCTGAGCTGAAAAAAATAATAGCATCCTTGTATCTTTTCCTCAATGAGAGGGTAAAACTTTCCAAGCTACAAACTTGTCCCTGGAATACTGAGATGCTAAACAACTGCACCCATCAACATAAGGACAATGAGATCAATTGTAAACCGATATAATCATAAATAATATAATCAATTGATCATATTATTCTTTGCCAAATGAATACCTTGGAATTAATGATAAAAAGATTATCATTTGGTTAGAAACTTTCAGTCCCATCAGAATATACTACAATAGTTTTAGAAGTAGAAAGTATCTTTATCAGTAGCGCAAACTGACAAAATCAATCATCATTAGGACTCTAAATTTAATAACTAAAAATCTTCAACTAACTTTGTGTAAAATCTCAAAAATTCTTCTCCAGAAGTTGTAAACCAATAAATGAGTCCTTTAGTAAATGTAACAGACACAAATTAAACAACTTCTGATCTTTAATTGGCAGCCTCAGTATACAATAACAGTTGCAGAAATTTTAACCTACTTACTCATACAGAGTTGAACTTTTTTGTTTTGGGTTAATGTCCCACAGCTTCTTATTGCGGATAACATATTCATTACTGTGTTGGTAATAGAGAGCTTCAAATTCTTCTATGTCTTGCCGAAGATGGTCCGGCACTGCAAATGGGCCTACAGAATCTGAATTCTGTCTGCTGTAAAAATAAACAAACCCAATTCTGTGAATGGTAAACTTTTGGTTCATTATTTAACCAGAAGAATATTAACTGAGATAAACACAATGATGGCAATATATTCCTTAGCTCTATGTTGTAATAAAAATAGTACCAGAGAACTTAATGTAGAAAAGTTATCTTTCACAATTATAGTCAAGAAGTATTATATCTAGCATTCTGAGTAAGCACTTTTAATTAACTGTTTAGTCTTGCTAACAAAAGCAAATTTTTTAAAACTCCAGGTTTTAAAAAACAATGTTGCACTAGTTGTAGCTTGTTAGAGGATTAAAAAACAAATGAACCGGGCATGGTGGCTCACGCCTGTAATCCCATCACTTTGGGAGGCAAAGGCGAGAGGACTGCCTGAGTCCACCAGTTCTAGACCAACCTGGGCAACAAGGCAAGACCTCATCTCTACAATAAACCAAAAAATTAACCAGGTGTGATGGCGCACACCTGTGGTTCCAGCTACTCAGAAGGCTGAGCCCAGCAAGTTGAGGTTATGATGGCCATGAGAATGCCACTGCACTCCCACCTGGGTGGCAGAGTGAGACTCTGACTCTAAAAAACAAGATTAAAAAAACCAAGATAACTAAACAAATGAAGATTTTATTACAACTGTTATTAATTTAAAGTGAGATTAAGACTGATAAAAGGCACTAATGAAAAGATTTTTTTTAAAAAAAGAGTATATGGGCAACTTCTTTTAGGTCCCCTTCCACTCTGGGAGCTTTTCTGTCTTAATAAATCTCACTTAAAAAAAAAAAAAAGAGGGCCGGGTTCAGTGGCTCAGTCTGTAATCCTGTGCTTTGGGAGGCCGAGGTGAGTGGATTGCCTGAGCCCGCGTGTTCGAGACCCCGCCTGGGCAACTTGGTGAGACCTCATCTCTACAATCAAAAAATCAAAAAATTAGCCGGGTGTGGTAGCGCGTGCCTGTAGTTCCAGCTACTTGGAAGGCTGAGGCAGAAGGATCACTGGAGCCCAACAGGTCAAGGCTGCAGTGGCCGGGGGCGGCCATTGCACTCCAGTGTTGGAGACAGAGTGAGACTCCAACTCAAAAAAAAAAAAAGAAAAGAGTATAACACTTTAGTACTCTAAAAAGATGTAGAAGTTTGAGTATGGGCTCTAAAATCAGACTGCATGATTTAAATCCTGACTCTGCTATTTATAAGCTTTGTGTTCTTGTGTAAGTCACTTAACTACCGCTGTGCCTCAGTTTCCTTATCTGTACAATGGACATAATAACATCACCTATTTCATAGGCTGAATGAGTGCATTATATGAGTTAATAAATGTAAAGCCCTTAGAGTAATGCCTGGTGTACATAAATGTTAATCTTAGTAAAGATTATGGGAAAAAAAAGGTTATGATATGGTCTAAATGTTTGCGTCCCTCGAAAATTCACATGTTGAAAACTAATCATTGATGCGGAGATTAGGATATAGAACCTTTGGGAAGTGACTAGGCTCTGCTCTCATGAATAGAATTGGTGCCCTTATAAAAGGGACCCCAAGGAGCTGTGTCGGCCCATTCACAATGTGAAGACATAGAAGGTACCATCTATGAACCAGAAAGCAAGTCCTCACCACATACTGAATCTGATGGACTTTCCAGCCTTCAGAACTGTGAGAAATAACTTTCTGTTGTTTGTAAGCCAGCCAGCTTATGGTATATTGTTATAGCAGCCCCAAAAGACCGAGACAGGCTATTATTTTAATTTAAAACAAATTCCTCCACTTAAAGAATTTGTGAAAATGACTGTGCAAATTTTAACTATTCTTACAACTTCCTTTAAGAAATGTGGGGGGAAAAAAACATTTTGTAGGTTTTTGGTTAATAAAGGAATGTGATGTAAAAAGGCTACTGTGGCTGGGCGCAGTGGCTCAAGTCTGTAATTCCAGTACTTTGGGAGGCCAAGGCAGGAGTATCACTTGAGGTCAGGGGTTTGAGATCAACCTGGCCAACACAATGAGAACCCATCTCTATAAAAAATAAAAAATCAGTTAGGTATGGTGGCATGTGCTTGTAGTCACAGCTACTCAGGAGGCTAAGGCAGAAGAATCGCTCGAGCCTAGGAGATCAAGGCTAGAGTGAGCTGGGATTGCATCACTGTACTGCACTTTATTTTCTATTGAAAAAAATAAAAAAAATAAAGATTACTGTTACACACTAGTTTTATGTCTTACGTCTGTTTTGTGAAACCAGTTTCAACAACCAGATGGTACTGAAAACCACTAATATATAAGGCTAAACCATAACATCATATAAGCTTCCAAAACATCTCCTTCTCTCCTCTTGTAGCAAACATGCTAGTAATTATCAATAAACACTCTCTTCATTAACAATTAAAAAAAATAATTTCAAGACATTTTTCTAGGATTTTCCCACAATGCCTTGCACACAGTGGGTTCTCAATATATACTCACTGAATGAATGTTATCAGTGTTGTATCTTCAACACAGTTTGAATGAATTCTTAATGCCTACAAGCCATGCTATAAATTCAATCAAGTTGTAAATACAATCATGCTGGAAACTACATAAGGTTGCCTAACAGATGTATATATTTAGAAATGGAAATTAGAAATAAAACACAAATTTATAACACATTAGATTAATACCACTCATTAAATGAAAACATTTGAGTTAAAATGAAGCAAAATTTTAAATTGTACTTACTTAGGGTCTTCACCTGAAGAGACAGTCTCATTATTTGGTGTTACTGAAGTTGTTCCAGACCCAATTAACATAGGCTAGTTTAAAAGACAGAAAAATGACAATGATGTTCTACCTTAAAATTCCATGAAAGGAAAAAAAAGCATTAAAATGTATAAATGCTTTTATAAATATACATGCCAATTGCTAATATATAAAACCTATCCAAATTTTTTGTGAACAGGAACAAGCTTCAACAACCATAAATAAGTTCAAATTAACATTTAGGGTAGTTTCCAATGCTCCAAAATAATTAAATGTCACTCAGTTTAAGCTCCCATTTCAGCAAAACTAAAGGCATAGAAAGAAAAGGAGAAAAGCTTTATCGGGACTTCTAAGCTGCTTTCACTCTCATCCCTTTGCTCATTCTCATTCCTTTACCCCTTTCTGTCCCTCTACCTGAAAAGAATCGCGAAGAACCCACCATGAGATTTAAAAATGATGCCCTACTTATCTCATGAGCTTGGATGAGAGCCACTGGTAAAAGGAAGGAAAGAATTCTATCAATTCTGAGATTGTTACAATGATTAGTATTCAACATTTTTAGTTTGAATATTTTAGATAATAAATATTTGAATAACAGAAGTAACTCCAACAAAAGCTTCTGAAGACTAGAAACTATTATTCTACTTTCATATCTCCCTTAAAATTTGGTTTATTCATAATAATAATAGATTATAATTATTAAGCATTTACTACTGAATAAGCACCATAACTCCATTAGTTATTAACATATATCACTATTATTGTTTTATGATTAAGACTCTAGGGCACAGGGAAGTGATAGGTCACACATATAATAACTGGTGAAACCAAGATATGACATTTGGAGCTGTCCGCCCCCAAAGCCTTCTTGGCCACTCTGCACAGAGTTCTATATCATAACAGTGTTTTCACTTGGAAATATCTAGAAAATAAAAAGAACAATAAAGAATAACAGTTGGCTGGGCTCGGTGGCTCAGCCTGTAAGCCCAGCACTCTGGGAGGCCGAGATGAGTAGATTGCCTGAGTCTGAGGGTTCGAGACCCATTCAGGCAACTTGGCGAGACCTAATTTCTATAATAAAAAAAATTAGCTGGGTGCGGTAGCGCATGCCTGTAGTTCCAGCTACTTGGAAGGCTGAGGCGGAAGGATCACTGGAGCCCAGTAGGTAGAGGATGCCGTGGCTGGGAGTGTGTCACTGCACTCTAGTCTTGGTGACAGAGTGAGATTCCAACTCAAAAAAAAAAAAGAGTAACAGTCTCCAGACTCCCTATTATACAATAGGAACCTTAAATTTACTAAAAATGTAGAAGACTGTAAAAATGTCTTTAATGCCTAGAAAGTGTTTCTATTCAAGTTGTTTCAAAAATATCCCCAAAATTGCTTAATTTTAATTTATATAACCAATTAATTATTTTGGAAAGTTTACACAAGAATTAATACAGAAAATAGGCCATACCTTTGAACCTTTTGGCTTCTTTTTCTTTCCTTTGTTTTTCACCTTGGTAGAACTAAACTAAAAATGGAAGAAAACATCAATAAACACTCAAATAACAGCACTATGAAGTTCAACATAAAGAAACCACATTGCTTTCCACAGACTAGTTATAAGTTAAATGTATATAAAATGTTTACCAAAAATAATGCTATAAAGTATATCATCCCAAGTACTATGACTTACAATAGAAAATAAGAAAAAAAAAATTTTTTTTTAATTATTTATTTATTTTTTATTATGAAGTTGTGGGGTACAGTTAAGGGTTAGGTATACAATTGCGTTTCATTCAGGTACCCTGTTGATATGGGGTGTTTCCCCGTTCCCAGACAGAAGGAAAAATTTAATAATGCCTAATGTTATCACTAAAAATTAAACTATTCCAGCATTTTAACCTCATTTTCAACAGGGTTCATGTTATTTTAACTAATTAATCAGACTTTCAAGCAGTTCTGGTTATATGTTATAGTAGCATTTTTATATTCCTTTTACTAAATTAAACTAAGCATTCTGTACCTGGCCAGACACTGGGAAACAAACAGTGAATAAAGAAGCATTCAATTCCTTATGGAGTATTTTAGTTGTTATGCTTAGTTATAGATTATTTGTTCCTGAAAAAAATCATTAAGCGTCTTTCTCCTGGAAACTGCCACAATGCTATTATTTCCTCTATTTAATCACTTATCTAAACTGATGAATTTCTGACTTGCCAGAAAGAATAAAAGGCTATTGCAACCTGCTATGGAAGACAACTCTGAAATTATTTTAACTTAAACTCAATTTGGAGTTACTCAAAACAAAGACCCTTGGTTTTCCTTCCAGAGCAAAACATTAAAATTTAAACCATTAAAGGTAACTTTTCATTTCTTAGGCGAGGAGATGAACAACTCTTCTCATTTAACTCGTTTAACATTTCCTAATATTAACATTCTTTGGCTATGAAACTATGGAAATTGTCTAATGTAAGCCTCAGAGTTTACTAATTATTGCTCTAATTCCAAGAAAAAGCTTTCTAATGAAATAGTACACATTACCACATTTTTAAAATAAAAAAATGAAGTAGTATACATTATCCAGAAGACTTCTTAAATTGGTTCTGGAAAGTCACCTATGATATTAATAAACACTGGTCTGGGTCCTCCTCTCGTCCTTTGGTTAACACAAATAGAAAATAAGATTTAAAGTGATCAAGTAACTTACTGTTGCTTCACCACTGTCTTGTTTCCTTAATACAGTACAGCGGCTGTCTGTAGGAAGATACAGGCGGTTTTGTGAAGAGACTCAACATTTCCATTTCCATACAACACACTGAAGGCTTAAAAGGATCCCCAATACTACTAGCATAGACGTATTCCATTCCTAACCTGGCTCTGACACAAGTTTACTTTAGAAACCAAGGGCAAAATGGCTGACTAAATGGGAAACCAATGACAAAGATCCACAAAATTTCAATGCAGTTCAGATAATTTGAGTGCCTCTGGTGCCATCTATGCTAGATGCTGGAAATACAGAGATGCATGAGGCAGTCTCTGCCATCAATGACCTCATGTTCTACTGCTAAAAAGACAAAAGGCAAGCACCTGTGCCTATGTGCTAAGTTCCACAGTGAAATACAAGGCAACAGAGCTTCACAGGGAAAAGTAATCTAGTCTTCACAGGGAGAAATCCAAGTGGGATGGGCAAGAAGGACTCTGGAGAGGAGGGGACATTTAAGTTAAACTTAAAATGAACAAGCAAAGGGGTGGGGCATGGCTGAGGGAACTACATGAGCAAAGACAGGAGGCAGGAGAGCACAAGGCAGGTATGGGCACAGTGAGAAGTAAGGTATATGTTCAGAGGGCAGACAGGGAGAGTGATGATAAAGCCAGACAGATGATGTGAACTTAATTTGTAGGCAAAACTAAGCAAATGCATCTCGAATCGAATAGTTACAGGATCAGACAGATGTTCTAAAAAAAGTTGCTAATTGCAATATAAGAGGAAGATGAGTATGAGGATCTAGAGGCATGGAGACCAATTTGGATACCACTGCAATAATCTAATTATGGAGAGGTAACTAAGGTCCTGGTCTAGGGAGGCAGGATGATTAGGAAAGGACAGATCAAAGATAAAGTTTATTTGGATTGGTGACAAGCTAGCTATAACAGTAACAGGGAAAAGAGTTGCGACTAATTCCTCTGTTTTATGCTTAAAAACTAGATACACAACAATGTTACTAACTGAGGTAAGTTTAGGAAACATTGGACTCTGGGGTGATAAAATGGGTTCAGTCATATTGCTGTTAAGAGGGCCTTTGGCTAACAGAAATTCCCTAGGGAAAAATGCATCCAGAGGTTAGGACAGAAACTGCGACTCTCAGTTAAACTGTAGAACTGGTGACATTATTGAATATCTTAATTTACAAGATCAGTGGGTTTTGAAAAGTTTAAAGAAATTTCCTTCCTTTAAAAACTGAAAATATCAGGTGATAATAGAAGGCAGAGCTATTGTACTTGAGAATCTGTTGGGATGGACAGTAATTTGGTTGGTGGTTTGCAACTCCATGACTAAAAACAGAGAAAACAATAGCAGCCAGATGTACTGTGTATTTTAGGTACAGAACACAAGAATCAGGAAGAATACATGCTAAGAGGGAATTGTGTCCTTTTTAGTTGCCTTGTATGTGATCCAAACATACATCAGATTTTGTAAGCTCAGTTCCAGGACAGCAGTTTATAACCACCAGCAGTAAGATGATGGCAACAAATTTGGGCTATCAAGAGGCACGTCTGCCGGGCTTGGTGGTTCAGTCTGTAATCCCAGCACTTTGGGAGGCCAAGGTGAGTGGATTCCCTGAACCCACGGGTTCGAGACCCACCCAGGCAACTTGGCAAGACCTCGTCTCTACAATAAATCAAAAATTAGCTGAGCGTGGTAGCATGCGCCTGTAGTTACAGGTTCTTGAAGGGCTGAGGAGGAAGGATCGCCGGAGCCCAGCAGGTCAAGGCTGCAGTGGCCAAGAGTTTGCCACTGCCCTCCAGTCTGGGTGACAGTGAGACTCCAACTCAGAAAAAAAAAAAAAAAAAAAAAAAAGAGACATGTCACCATCAGGAAAAAAGCAGTAATTAGAAAGACAAAGTCATCTAAATGTGAGTACACTCCTTTGGAAGAAGCGTAACAAAAGTAAGCTTTCTGCATTTGAACTTTATCATCTGTGACACTGCTGGACAAGGCTATTTAATGTACCCTTTAAAAGAAACAGTATGAGCCGGGCTCGGTGGCTCAGCCTGTAATCCCATGCCTTTGGGAGGCTGAGGTGAGTGGATTGCCTGAGCCCGCGGGTTCAAGACCCACCTGGGCAGCGAGACCTCATCTCTACAATAAATCAAAAAATCAGCCGGGCGTGGTAGCGCATGCCTGTAATTCTGGCTACTCGGAAGGCTGAGGCAGAAGGATCGCCGGAGCCCAGCAGGTCGAGGCTGCGGTGGCCGGGAGCGGCTACTGCACTCCAGTCTGGGCGACAGAGTGAGACTCCAACTCAAACAAACAAACAAAAAAAGAAACAGTATGAAATGTAAAATCTAATGCCTAACAATATATAAAGTAGACTTCTAATTCTAAGGGATGGGGAGAGGGATTATCCTGAGATGTACATGTAATATGAAAGTTGAGAAATTAAAAGTAATTTAAAATCCAAGGATATTAGAACTTTCAAGTAAAAAGGACTATACAGATCATTGATTCCAAATCATCTCATTAATGATAAGGAAATTAAGATCCAAGAAAAGCTAAGGAATTATCTACTAATTAGCCTAATCTGCCAAGTTGGACTCCATATTGTTACACAGACAGGTCCCCCCAATTCCCTTCTGTCCTACCTGAGCCCTGATATGTCCAATTCTACTTCCATGTTCACAGCCCATCTGAGACTCCACCCCTGGACCACAGCTTTTCTCTCTCTCCCAGGAAAAAGTAAAGTAGTGGGTTCTTCCTTTAAAGCCCTCAGCACTTTCTCTAGTCTCCCCTTATTGAACTTAATACCATATTACAGTTATTAATGCACTCTTCTTATTCCCTATTCTAGAACATAGTAGGATCTTCAAGAGCAGGAACTACTGTAAGCATTTCTGCATTCCTTCTTAATACTTGGGCCTACAAAGTTTTTAGTGAACTAAATTAGGGAAGAAGTTGTGCCACACCCACTTTTTCTGACCCCCACTTCTAGGCTCTTCCCATTAAAACAGAAGTGATGTCTCTTTTAGATTCCGCAAACATCAACCTACTTCTGTAGGTCAATGTGTTTTCTTAAGTGCTACAAATCAAACCACTTGCTAATATATTCCTCCATTTAATATGCCATCTTTTCCGTGTTGCTGTCAAAATATCTAAGATGGGAAAAGCATGGTGTATAGTCTGTATAACATACTCATTTAAGCATCTCTATAATAGCTCAATAAAGTAAAAGCTTAATGACATAAAAAAATCACTATAGTCAATCACTAACTTCCCCAAATAAACTGGTTGTACCATAATGATTTCATTCTTTCGTTTGTTAAGTACTTTAAAAAGCTAAGTCCATTTCCTAAGATCAGATATAACATAAATCTAAACTTGTTCCACATACCCATTATATCAAAGAATTCATCCAAAGCACTGTGTAATGCTGGGAACTTATCTCTGTGTTCTTCTAGCAGCCATATTAAACAACGTGCTTCCTTCAATGATGTTGGCTCATAGAAATAGTCAAACTGCTTTCCTTCTATAGAGTCGAGTTTATGACCGTATTTTTCATTCCAGAGAAAAGTCATGACACTAAAATCAATCTCTTTAAGAGACGCCCCATAACGAGAAAAAAAGGGTCCTGTAGCATCTAAGCCTGAAACAAAAACAAAACTCAAATGAGAAGGGAAAAATTATTTACTGTAGAATCATATTCAGTTTCACATCTTTTAAAACAGTTGTATTATAGTTTGTTTATATTTTCAGTGAAAACATTTAAATACTTGAGAACAGACTTGTTCAAGCTATCACGCATTTTGGAAACACCACTGAGCATTGACATCCTAATTGCAACAATTCGTATCTATTAGATTTCTATTATTATAGTTATCTTTATTAGACTTAGGAGATGAAAATATGGCATTAAATTCCTTTAAGAATATAACAATGTTTTCACTAATTTATAATGACTTTTATTCCAATTAGTTTTTAATGTTTTAACAAGATTTTAATGTTTTTTCTATATGTATTCTATAGTAACAAAATGTCAAGAATATGCAAAATCTTTCCAAATGCTTTAAAAGAGGAACTAGATAAACTCTTCCAACACCTCCAAGAACTTCTCGTTGTTTTCCAAAATATTATGAGTCCTTACCCTCCTCTCTAAAAGTCAAGGTGGTCACTATTCCTGCTTTTTTCTCCATTTTCCAAATCAGAAAACAGAGTGGCTGCAATCTCCCATGCCTACTGAAAGGACAGTGTATCCCCTCTCCTTACAAATACATCCAACATGAAGGAAAAAGGACTGTTCAATTTTCCCACAAGCTTCTAATACAGATCACCTCTTTCTTCCATGGATCTTAGGTTCTCAAGTCAACAAATGAAGCAGAGAATGCTCAGAATTACCCTGGACTGCTGTTCTTCTGGATGTAAAAGTTAACTTGTAGAGATCATGTTGCATGAGAATTAGCATCTTTAAATACCAGAATCAGTGACCATATAAAGTACTCATACATTAAAAGTTTTAAGGAAAGCCAATGAAGAAATACCACATTTACAATCCTAACCCAGATCAGAGCTTGCAAAATACAGGTGGAAGTGTTTACTATTGAAATATTCATTTTCTCTCTCTGGGGTCCCCCTATTTCTCTTTCTTTCTCCCTCTCTTATTCTCTTTTCCTCCTTCCATCTTTGCTGAACATATAAATTGGCTTCTCTTATGTTAAATATGTACACGATATGACTCTACTATATAGATTTTTTTGTGAAAAGGAATTGGAATGCCAGGAGTTGGATGTTACTTGCTTTTATTAATGTCGGTTTATCTAATAAAGCCTTAGTAATAAACACACTTGAACTCATTTCATAACTTTAAACAGAAATTGCAAGTATAAATAGTATGCATACATCCTCATTAAAACAATACCTTTAATCTTCAAAATAAACATGAATTATATAAAAACATCACATTTTCCTGCCAGTAAGTGTGCCAGAAGGCTCGAATGCTGGGTTTACTTGAATGAACAGTGGTTGGTACTCTTGCACATATAGCATAACCCAACAAGCCTACTGCTTCAGTCTTGAGTCTATATCCGAAAGCAGATTAAGCAATAACTGTGTTTACTTACCTGATATTCACTAGTGACAGTCTTATTACTTAAGAATCACTTTCTAGGAACAGAAATCTATGAAGATCTAAGCTCCATGGGAACATTTAAGCATCTAACTATGCCAAACTTGCCGCAATCTTATTTTATCTCTACTGACAGAAATTGACCAATATCTTCTCTGAAATTCTAAAATTCTAATACCTCATGTCTCTAAAAACTCAGGCAGGTGGGAGGTAGCTGGCAAGGGTTTGGCAGGCTCCATTTTCTAGACTGCTGCAAAAGGCCCTGCCCCTTTCTGGTGGCTCTCTTTAGTCTCTTATCTAACAACTGCCAAGTGAATCAACCATTGTGCTAGGCCAGTTGCTATCCTGGTCACGAAGATAAACAGTGCCCTGGGCACCTGATAGGAGCCCAAAGCATCCCTACCTAGTGTTGGACAACAACAGTACCTGCAGAAGCCTTCTGCAGTCCCAGCACGACCTTGAGAAAGAGTCTGCCTGGGGGAAAGGTGAGGTCCTGCTCAACTTTCCCTTCTCTCAGCCAAAATAGGAAAGCCAGAACAGAGTAAGAAGTTGTATAATACTATGATTTATAACAGCCTAGTTCAACCCCAGCATATGTTACTCTTAAATTTTAGATATAGCTAGCACGGTCGCTCATGGTTGTAATCCCAGCACTTTGGGAGGTGGAGGTGAGAGGACTGCCTGAGCACAGGTGCTCGAGGCCAGTCTGAGCAACTGGTGAGACCTCTCTCTACAATCAATCAATCAATCAATTAGCCAGGCATGGTGGCACACACCTGTAGTTCCAGTTATGTGGAAAGGTGAGACAGAAGGATCACCTGAGCCCAACAGGTTAAGGCTGTGGTGGCTGTGAGCGTGCCACTGCACTCCAGCCTGGGTGACAGAGTAAGACTCTAACTCAAAGAAATAAAAATAAAATAAAATAGAATTTTAGATATAGATTTGCCTTAGGTCACCCTAAACAATTAGTCCCATCTACTCTTCCTTCTAAATTTTTCTTCAAAAAAAATCTTAATTTCAGATTATTCTTCTTTCTCAACACAGCTACCAACCTATACTATCCCAGAGGGCACTCCACAGAAAGCAGACTCCACGATGTGCTACTTACAAATTGTTGTGCCTGGTATTTACAGATCTACACATTTATAAATAGTTTAGCATAATATATGATATAGGATTTCCTTATTGACCGACCTTTCTTTTGTTTACACCTTTTGAGAAAGTATATTGTAAACTACCTCTAAAATAACCTAAAAATTGTGTGTGTGTGTGTGTGTGTGTGTGTGTGTGTGTGTATGTGTGTTTGTGTATAATAGTTTATTTAACCATATACATTGATTAATTGATTGACTGATTTTTGAGTCAGAGTCGCACTCTGTTGCCCAGGCTGGTGTGCAGTGGCATGTTTAAGGCCACCCCAATGACTCGTTGGACTCAGGTCATACTTCCGCCTTAGCCTTTCAAGTAGCCAGAACTACAGCCACGTGCTACCACACCCATATAATTTTTTGATATACTGTAGAGACGAGGTCTCACCAAGTTGCCCAGGATGGTCTTGAACCCCTAGGCTCAGGCAATCCTCTCGCCTTGACCTCCCAAAGTGCTGGGATTACAGGCTTGAGCCACCCGCGTGGCCTGACCATATAAATTTATAGTCCTGCATTTAAAACGTTGTAAGTGACATAATAGGAAAACAACATATATCACTCTAGAATATAAAGGGACATACCAAAGTTATTAAGTTTCTGGATCCAGGTGGCTAAGTTGGGTTCCATTTCTTTAAGTTCACTCAAAACATGCAGAAATATCCTTGTCTTTACTCTATTCTTTTCCTGAATCAAGTGATGAATAACATAGTCCACTGCTTCATTTAGAAAATTTTTGCTACAAAAACAGGTTGCATAGTCTTCTAGGCTCAAAACTTTCCAAGAAAGCAACTCTTTGAGAAGTTTGGAAGTATTCAGTATACCAGATTTAATCTTGTCAGCATACTGCTTTAGACACTGTAGAATTCTGTCATCAAGGAACTGACAGCTTTGAATCATGTCTACAGTTTCTAAGGATAAATAATGATGGTTAGTTAAAGTGATAAACAGGACTAGTTTGCAATGATATAAACTTAGAAATAAGGTAACATTACATAATAATATAAAATATTTATGTTGTTGTACATAAACTACTCAAAAAACTTCAATTAAAAATATAACTGTTAACAATACCTTTGGAAAGATATGAACATTCACATTAAACCAAACAATATCAAAAGTACCTTATAACCTTTGTTCTGCACCATTCAAGTAGTAGCATCTAAAACCTTAGTACCTCTAAAATAAGAAGGTAATGTCCCTCAACAATCCTAACTCAGCCTTATCAAATACCTTAAATTTATGTTAAATAAATGTTAGTCATTATTAAGCATGCAAAGATAAAATACATCCAATAAAAATTTTTTCAGTGAATACAATAATTTTGACTGATTTGTGAAACATTAATGGAATACTAGATAAAAAATAAAGATAGCAATTAGAAAACATTTCATTTTGGAAACAGCCATTTGTAGAACATGAGGAAAACGTACTTCAACTCAAAACTGAAAATAAACATATTAGCCAACATCTACACAGCAACAGTAAAATTACCAATGAGACATTCCCACGTTAATGGGGAAATGAAGACAAAATGAGCATAAAATAGAAGACTGGACTAGATAATCTCTATGGTACCTTATATGAACTGTCTAAAAACTGCCTAATTTACAGACTGACTTTTTAGAAATTAAGTCTACATAGCAGAGTTTACATACAACACATAGGTCATATATTATGTCCACCTTCAGATATGAGGAAACTGACACACAGTTTGCTTAGAGTTAGTGGCGGATTCGTGTCGAAATCTCTGTGTATTGCTTCTAAAGTCAGTGCTCTTCACATCAACCCAGAAGAGAGTGATAGTATTAAAATACAAACTACAATCTATATTTCAATTTAATAACAATTAGCATAAGACCCAATAAAATGAATATTTACATTTATACTTTAAAGCAAGATATATTATTCTTATCATGCCATGGACTTCTGCATACCTTTCTGTTCTTCATTTTTGGGTGGATTACTTTCTCTTGAGTCCTTTTCCATTCTTTCTTGTGCTAATTTTTTTGCTTCTTTTTTTTGGATTTTTCTCTTCAATTTTTTGTCTTCTTTTAGTCTCAACTTCTCTAGACTGATAAATATTTACAAATAGTGATAATTTACTTTTGTTATAAGCTCAATGAACTATTGTCCTTTGTCTACTGTAGAAACTACTTTCTAATCAACAGGTTAGAAGTTTTCCTTTTTAATTAGAGCCAGGCCTACATCTTTTAGTCAATATAAAAAACTGTCTGTTCCATCAAAATAAAGGCAACCTGTTTCATGAAAACAAGAACTTCACTGAAGTGGTTTCTAAAGATGCAACGTATAGATTGTATAGATGTTATTTCCATGTATATAAGTTACTGCATAGGGTTAACAGGAATAGTGTAAATTACTGTGCAAGATAATATATGCAAACTCTCATTTCTAAGAAAGATCCCATGGTGAAATATTATTTTCACTTCTCAATAATAATTCAAAACATGGAATTAGATGTTCTGGTTACAATGAATTCTCCAATAAATAATTCTGTTCATAATTTCTTTTGCTTTTTCTTGTTAATGATGAAAAAGAATCACTTTTAGAATGAAAAACAAGAAGCAGGACCAAAAAAAAAAAAATCTGAATTATTTGATCTGAACAAAAAGATACAGAGAAGTGAATAATTTAGACAGTACATCCAGTATTTCAGGTTAAGAAATAATCATTGGTTGAAAATGTTTTCTGAAAAGACATACGAAGAAAAATGCTTTTGGAATTAAAGTTTAAATAGTCAAGAGAAAAAGATGTAATTTTTATCTAAAACATGTAATTTCATAGTATCAAGTACTATGATTTTACTTACAAATTCAACCACTATTTAAATGATTCTGAATCAACTTTTTAGTATTTAACATTCTAGGCTATTTTTCTTTAAGTTTTAAATATCCATAAGAATCATTAAAAAAAAAAACACCTATTTGGATATATATGTATGCACAGCCCATTTAAAAAACAGCAAAATTTAGAAATCTGTACTTAACAGAATTATATTCTAAGAGACATAATTAAATAATTGTTAAAAATCTTACCTAGAACATTTCTGTTTCAGAATAGGTCTTGGAACCTTTTCTTTTATGACCTTGTGTTCAAACTTTAAATAAAACAAAGATACTCAAAATTTGTCTCATACTCCCATGAGCATAAAACCACAAGTAACAAGTATTTCGGAAGCACACAGTCAACGTTCAATTTGATAGAAAACAGTGATGATGTTCTGACCCAGACAAAAGCCCAGAAAGTTTTAGCAAAATAATTTACTGAAAAGAGGAACAAGAGAGTAGATGTTTTAGGAAAAACTTAAAAAAAAAAAAAAGTAAACATTAGATCTAATTTATCACAAATATTACAACTACCCACTCTGATGCAGTGGTTAAAGGTAATTCCCTAAGATACTCTTCCCCTCCCTAATAACCTGCACCTCCATCAATTCCCAAAAGTTTACTAGGGATTAATAAATGAAGTTATCAAAAAGAGTACAAATAAAACTAAAATGTAAAAAGCCTCATTTCCTATTAACAAATAGATAGATGTGACAATGAAGAATATTTCCTGCATTTTCTTTTTTTTTTTCTTTTTGAGTTGGAGTCTCACTCTGTCACCCAGACTGGAGTGGAGCGGCCACTGCAGCCTCCACCTGCTGGACTCCAGCAATCCTTTCGCCTCAGACTTCCAAGTAGCCGGAACTACAGGCGCGCACTACCACGCCCGGCTAATTTTTTTGATTTATTTAGAGAAGAGGTCTCGCCAAGTTGCCCAGGCGGGTCTCAAACCCACGGGCTCAGGTAATTCACTCCCAAAGCGCGGCCTCCCAAAGCGCGGGATTACAGGCTGAGCCACTGAGCCCGGCCTCCTATATTTTCTTAAATAATTGTGTCTTTTCTGGAAAAGATAAGATCCAAACCACACAACTTCCACAAATTTAAATCATGTTTAAACATTTTGGGTATAAACATTTTGGTTATCAATTTAATAAGGTTTCCTCATTATTAGATACTTACTTCACATTTAACTTGACCACCACTGCTAAAGATAATAATCTTAGAAATGATACCTTCACAGTCAGGGGTAAGACAAATTCCTTGCAGAAAATCCTATATAATTTAAAAGAAGAAAAATGTTATGTCTGTGGGGGGATAAATCCATAAACATATAATGTCAAAACATGGGCTGAAAGTCTTCAGGACACTGTTCATTGCCATACGATTTTGAGAGCTTTCCTGTAGGAAGAATACACTTCTGGGTGTAGGTGTGGCCATGCAACTTGTTTTTATCAATACAAGGTGACCTGACATGATATACTCCATGTCTAAACAAAAGCTTTAAGAAATACTGCATGAACTGGCCATTGCTCTTTTCCCTCTAGCACAAGAACAATGCTCCAGAAAAGTGGCACTCTTCAATTTATTTCAGAAACAAAGAATACAGTCACATAGAATGGAGTTGCTACAGTCCATCCCTGGTCAACAACTGCAGAACTTCAGGGCAAGTAATGTAAGCAAGAAATGCACCTCTCTTATTGTAAGTCACAAGATATTTGACTTGCATATTACCTCAGCATATCCTAGTGAAAGCTGACTAATTAACAGAGAATATTTAAAATCCATGGAAATGGTTAATAATACTAAGGCAGAGTGTATCACTACTGAAACTCAATTTAGGTAAGACAAAGACATAGAAGTGACTCAATGGCAATAGCAATTTGCTCATATGACTTTATCTTTAGTTAACTATGTGCAAGCATACAACACATGAGAATTTATTTCTACCAAACTTAAATTATACCTATTGCTTAACGACACACAGTACAATCACCTTATTTTGTTTCCCCAATAAGATAGTGGTCTACGTGAGCCTATGCAGGGTAGGAAAAGATCCATAGTTTATGCAGATTAGAAACAAACTCTATGAATACAAGTAAGATTGTAAAATTGTGCCTTTTCTCAATAATTCTAATAGTAATTAACATCATTTCCTTGATAATAAGCTAATGGTAATTAACATCATTATCTTGATAATAAGAAAAAACACCAAGAAGAAATGGCAGTGAAAAACTAACATTGATCCTCCTCCTCTAGCACTAAAAAAATTTTTTTGAGTCGTTTTCTTAGTACAAATTATCTACTTTTGATTTTGAAACCTCAAATTTTACATCAAAACTTTCAAGTGAGTAAACGAATTACTCTAAAAAACTAAAATTATGACCAGGCACAGTGGCTCAGACCTGTAATCCCAGCAATTTGGGAGCCCAAGGCAGGAGATTGCTTGAGCCCAAGAGTTCAAGACCAACCTGGAAAACATAGCCAAGAACTTGTCTCTACAAAGAAATCAAAAAATTAGCTGGGCATGGTGGCATGTGCCTGTAGTTCCAACTACTCGAGAGGCTGAGGCAGAAAGATAGCCTGAGCCCAGGAGGTCAAGGCTGTGGTAAACTGGGATCATGCCACTGCACTCCAGCCTGGGTGACAGAATGAGACTCTGACTCAAAAAAAAAAAAAAAAACTCAAAAGTTTAAAAAGGAAGACTAAAATTATTATCAGTGTTTAATTTAGACCTGCATTTTAAAATCAGATAATTATTTTTTACTGCCTTCATAGTTTATAAATAAAAACAAATTCTTATTTTCCACTTTATTATTAAAGCAATTTTAAATAAAAATTTTAAAATTAAACCTAATTATGTCTAGAATGCTCAGGAAATAATTTATATTCACTTATGTCATCTTCTGAAATTCTTGGGGGGAAAAAATTGACAAACAGTAAGTACACTGAAAAATCTAGACAATCTTATTATGCCTTACCTTGTCAATTTTATCATTAAAAGTTGTTGCTTTTAACTTCTTCCAGCAGTTTATGTGAAATTCTATTTTACAGTACTGGCAACAGCTGATGCGTATAAAACCCTACAGTTTCAAAAAAATTTTAATTCACATTTTAAAGACGTCTATGCACACACATTCACTCATAACACACATATTAATATAAAGAAAATTGTTGCATTCACCTGGCAGACATAACTAGACATTCTATTCCTCATGAGGGAGTATAATATTTCTGTACTCCAAAATGCATATTGCCAGAGATACAGAGCTTTACTGACATATTCATTCCTACGATATAGAGTTGCATTATTCTATACAGTATATCAAATATTTTATAACATTATTTCATCTTATTTACTAAGCAGGGGCAATGGGACAGTGGGTAGCTACTAACTTCTTGAATAAACCAGTAACTTACTCAATTAAGTACCAGAATTTATCCCAAATTTAGGTCTCCAGAGGCTAATTCAATGATCACAATGACCTTTAGATTTTGGACTCACATTTTATAAGATTAAAGTTGCAACAAATCAGATAACAATCTCATTTTGTTTCCTACTGCCTAAGGATTAAGCAGTTACAAGAAATAAAGGATAGAAAAAGGAAAAGGAATTAGTTAGCCTGCTTTCTCAGGTCACCAGCCCAGCCCACAGTGTTTATTTTGGTGGCTCTGGGTTTCCACCTGAGAAGATGCAGACCTAAAGACGTCTGGGAAATAGGGTGTACAAGAAGACATAAAATTGCCAATAAGCCAGAGAACTTGGGTGCCTCTAATTGCAGAATATGTTTCAAATCTATTTTAAGGCATGCTTTTGCAAGTTAATGTCCCACTGTACATTCACCATTTACCTTAAAGTCTGGATCACTTATGTATATCTGGATTTTGGAATATCCGCAGCACTTTTGATAGCAACAAATGGCATCTGGCACTGGAGGGAACTTGCATTCTTCAACAAATTTCTCTAATAGCATCTAAGACAAAATAAACAAAAATGATACTATTACATTAATCTGTCAATAAAAATGCTTGTGATTTTAATAATCTCTTGCCATCAAAATATTTTCAGCATAGGAATGACTACATTTTTTTTTTTTAGCCAAGAGCAAACTACATATGACTTTTTATTTTTAGAAAAAAATTTGTTTATATTTGTCCCAAAGGCATATTAGATGGACATAAAAGCGAACACCTCCATTAAATGAAATAAAATCTTCTGAATTAAGTGTGAAACTAACACTCTTAGAGAGTTATTTTATACATTTGTCAGAGAGTGTATTAGGGCATTAGAAATGTTGAGTATTTCTATTCACTGAAGCAACACTGCAGTCAACCACACATGCAACCAACATTGTTAATAAAATCTTTTATAAATGAGTATTGAGTGTTTTACATGAAATAAGAGTAGTTAACACATTCATTTAAATAACAATTTCAGAATCATTATACACAACTTTTAAAGTTTTTCCTTTTAAAAGGAGGCCGATACAAAAACATGAGAGAGATTAAAAAAGAGATTTGAACGAAATCTTTTTTTCAGAACTTCGGAAACTCAGAATCAAAACATATTCCTCTCTTATAACCACCTAACCACATTTCATGATTTACAACTCTTAGAAATCTCCTATAAGGATTAAGTGGCAGTCAAGGGTAGAATAACTCTAGGATAACCCTGAGGACTTTACTATTCTCCCCTTTCCTAATGCCACTTCATCTAGGATCCTAATACTCCCATCCATCTGCCTCCTCTAATCTCTGCCCCTGGAGCTTGTGATTTCCTGAGAATTATTCCACTGCTAATGAGGTCCCAAGGGATTTACTCCACACTTCTAGTGCCGGCTTTTTGTTATCAATAGTTCCTATGCCGCCATCTCAATCTTTTATGAAGAGAAGAAAATTCAACGATCCTTGTGTTTTGTGTTATATTTTTTTTTATAACAGCTTTGTTGAGATATAATTAATACACCATACAATTTAAAGTGTACAGTTCAGGGGTTTTTTAGCATATTCACAGGGTTGTACAGCCATCACCACAATCTAAATTTATTTATCCAATAAGAAACTACATTCCCATTACTAGTCCCTCCTTATTTTTCCCTAACCTCTGGGGCTGGGCAATCACTATCTACTTTCTGTCCCTATATACAGATGTGCCCGTTCTAGAGATTTCATATTAGTAATAAGAAGAATAATGCAGCTAAGAAAAATCATACATAAGTTTCTATACACATCTAGGAGTGGAATTGCTGGGTTATATGGCATGCTATAGTTCAGGTATTTGACCTCTCCCTCTCTCTCCTCCATCTCCCACCCTTTCTCTATATGCTGGCTCCCCTGGCTGCTCTCATTCATCTCATTCCGTGATGAATGAGAGCAGCCAGAGGTCCTCACCAGAAGCAGATGCTGGTGCCATGTTTCTTGTACAACCTGCACAGCCATGAGCCAATCTTTTTTTTACAAATTACTCAGCCTCAGGTATTCTTTTATAGCAACACAGACTAAGTAAGACACAGTAACACTATGTCGAACTGTTTGAGGAACTGCCAGACTATTTTCCAAAGAAGCTGTACCATTTTATATCACCATCAGCAAAGTTTGAACATTCCAATTTTTCCACATCCTTGACAATACTTATTGTCTTCCAACATCCTAGTGGGTGTGAAGTTGTATCTCACTGTGGTTTTGATTTGTATTTATCTGATGGTTACTGATGCTAAATATCTTTTCATGTGCTAATTGGCCATTTATCTATCTTCTTTGCAGACCTGTCTCAGCTCCTTTGTCTACTTTTCAATTAAATGATATCTTTTTATTATTGAATTGTAAAAGTTGACCCCTGTGGTTTAAAAAGCTTTAGTCAAAAGCAAGTTCTGAGTATATGTGAGAAAGGCTTATCTTAGTCAATCTACACATACTTTATTCTTTCTAGAATAAGCAAAGCATCCTTATGCTTCTGGATATGAGACTAAATTCGTATTTTCAAATCTTTAAGTACAATCTCATTAACAGTAGTAACTATGATGAAACAACAATGCTATACCTCCCTTTAGGTACAACCAACTACAGTCTTCTGCTTGGTAATGCATGCTCTGATGTCAGAATGCCTAGATTCAAGTCCCAGGACCACCACTGGCATGCTGTTTAACCTTGAGCTTATCACTCAAGCTATCTAAACTTAATCCTTCTCACGTGTAAAATAAGAATGATCATAGTTCCCATTTCATAGGACTGCTGTAAGGATTATACATAATGATAAATGGAAGGTGAATGGCACACAGGAAACATTCAATAAACGTCTGGGATTCTCATTAGATTTTAAAGGGGAAATTCAGTGTTAGAGCACTTCTACCTCTTTGTTTTCTGATATCTGAGTCAGTCAATACAGATGAGTTTTTATGGTTAATAAGAAACATTCTGCAGAAATAAATGGCTACCTTTATTTTCTCTGGTTGAGACTCTTGAATGACCACATTACTTGTAGGCCAAGTTAACACTCCAGGAAGACGATAAATCAAGGTTCGGGCTTTCTCAAAGTGATTGAGAGCTTCTAGAAATCTAAAGTCACAATTATGAAGAAAGAAGGTATTAAAGATGTGACATGATATTTTCACTCACCACAACAAAAGTCACCATGATCTCAAGCTTACTGGGAAGAGTACATTTGAGAAATCACTGGACAGAAATATTTAATGTAACCTAATTTTTTAAAAAACAAAACATTCTTCTGTTATAATAAAATAGCAATATACATTAAGCACAACTCTATATAGCTTTATTGTGGTAGATACACACTAGTCCTGTTAAAGTTGCAACTTATTTGAAATTAAAGTTTCCAACAATTAAAACTGAAAAATAATTTGGCTGTTCTATTTTTGTTTCAGTAACTAAATTAAAGTAGATTAGAATAGCAAATCTCCACTTCAACTAATTAATCATAAAAAGGAGAATTATTTTTTTAAAATATGACTCTACTATAATGTCTATAGTAAAAATCTCTCTGCTGAAAAAATTTTTTGAAGGATCACGGATTCTGGATATCTCTCTCTCTCTCTCTCTCTCTCTCTCTCTCGCTTTTTGAGTTGGAGTATCACTCGGTCACCCATGTTGGAGTGCAGTGGCATGCTCATGGCCACTGCAGCCTCGACCTGCTGGGCCTAGGCAATCCTTCTGCCTCAGCTTTCTAAGTAGCTGGAACTACAGAAGCACGCCACCATGCCTGGCTAATTTTTGTGATTTATGGTAGAGATGAGGTCTCACCAAGTAGGCCAGGCTGGTTGCAAACCCCTAGGCTCAGGCTGGCATTACAGGCTGAGCCACCGCGTCCAGCCGACATCTTTCTTCAACAATAAAGCAGTGAATTTGTTTAACAGAACAAATGTGTAATTAAATTGCTTTAAGTATAAATTGAGATGCTTTAGTTCTGATCTGATTCATGGTTTGAAGAAATAATGTCAATAGATTCCTGCAGTCCATTGAATAAAGAATATTAAAGTACAGGATTATAAAGTGAACCAAGTCTTTATTCTTCTCTTCTTACTAAAAAAGAAAGCTTCCTGCTTTCTCCAATCTTGGAATGATTTCCCAATTTAAAAACTTATTTTGGGGCCAGGCACAGTTGTTCACACTCATAATCCCAGCACTTTTGGGGTGGATGTGGGAGGACTGCTTGAGCCCAGGAGTTTGAGACCAGTATGGCAAAATTGTAAGACCTCATCTCTACAAAAAATAAAAATATTATCTGGACAGGGTGACATATGCCTGTAGTCCCAGCTATTCGGGAAGCTGTGGTGGAAGGATCACCAGATCCCAGGAAGCTGAGGTTGTAGTGAGCCACGATTATGTCACTGCACTCCAGCCTGGGTAACAGAATGAGACTCTGACTCAAAAAAACAAACAAAAAAATACTCAAAAAACTTATTTTTTCCTCTAATTACAGAAAGATTCAAGTGCAAGAAAGCTAGATCCGCATCCACAATAAGACAATTATAAACAGCAGTAATTCAAACAAGAAACAGCACATTATAATGCCAGAAAAGAGCATTTAGTCCCACATCATATTTAGAAATTAAAGGTAGATGCCTTTCAACATGATAAAGACTTTTCAATTTACCACAACCTCCATGATTTTAGACATTTGTTATTTCTCTGGACCTTGTGAAGATCTGTGTCACCACTGATTAAGCAAGTATGTCTTAAATAATTTCTACTAAACTTTGAAACTAATGTCATTTGCTATTACTATAAAGGTGACTGCCCAATACTCACTTTCCCTGCATCTACCTGATCAGCCTAGCCAGGCAGTAACTTCAAGAAGTAAAAAAAATTTTCTTTAATCTTTAAAAATCCATAATGGAGGTTCTAGATTAGATTCTAGATCGAGTAATCTAAGATTGGGTTCCCCAGCATCTCATAAAATTTCCCCTTACAAGTTAGATGAAAATTTAAAGATAATTAAAAATTATGAATAATATTTAATCAGTCAACAACTATTTCTTGATAAAGTTACCTAACATACCTACTACTATACATACTGGGTGCAAGTGGCAGAAAATATATATGTATATTTTTAAGCTCAAGATTGAATCCTGTCCCCTAAGAGTCATATAGACATTTTGAGAGGACAAGACTAAGACATGCAACATTTAGAGAACAGCTTCATATTCATTTATTTTGGGTAAGATTACAACTACAATAGAGTTCCAAGAAGAGATTTTTATTCCTAACTCATGATATCTTTGAATATATACACACATCTAGTTTAAATAATCTTCATACGGCTAGACTCAATGGCTCAGCCTGTATCACAGAACTTTGGGAGGCCGAGGCAAGTGGGTTTCCTGAGCCAGCAGGTTCGAACCAGACCTGGCAACTTGGCGAGACCTTGTCTCTGCAATAAATCAAAAAATTAGCTGGGCATGGTAGCGCGCACCTGTAGTTCCGGCTACTTGGAAGGCTGAGGCGGAAGGATTGCCGGAGCCCAGCATGTCGATGCTGGGGTGGCTGTGAGTGTGCCACTGCACTCCAGCCTGGGCGCCAGAGTGAGACTCCAACTCAAAAAAATAAAATAAAAATAAATAAATAAATAATCTTTATGCAAATTTTCAAAAAATAAGTATTTAACCAAAAAATTATACAATCAGATTTTAAAAGCATTAATACATATCAATTCAGTTACAATTTATAGATGATGCAGACTAAATAATATTAAATCTTTAATGTCAAATTACTCTACTATTGACTTTCTTATTAGATTCAAAATTAGAAAGCACCAAGAATTGCAATGATTGGCCTTGCTTTAGTAATTAATATTGATAGTGAAATGCCAGGTCCTCAAAGTAAATTGCAATTATAATAGTGTGCCCTATAGAGAAGATAACAAAATAATTCCCAAAAAGGGATCATCATCACATTAGACTTGGAATGAGTAATCAGCCTAGAGCTTAAAGTATGTAGTTTCTACTAACCTGTTTTTTTTCAAATATACTTTTCCAATTCCACAGTAGGCCAAGCAATCAAGTCCCTCACTGGGGTAGTGTTCAATGATCCTCTTAAACTGGTTTTCAGCTTCAGATAATTCCTTCAATGGCAGTGAGAGCAATGATCATTTACACAAAAAGAGAAATGCTATAACAGATTTTATCTGAAGGCTGGGTCTTTTTGTGTAAAATTAAAATAACAACTACATATCTCCAAATTCCTGTGGCAAAATCATACTTTCTGCATTTCATTCTCTTAGGAATTGTATAAAATTCAACCAAACCAATTCTGAACATCTGACAGCCAATTCTATGAGCATTTATTCACTAGTACACACTTGGGACCTGGAATGTGCTGGCTATGCTAAAAGGTGTAAAATCATGGTGTAAAAAGATTGATTTTGGTGCAAACACACCATGACATATGTCCTAGTAAGTGCTGCACTCTTGGAAGGACTAGCATTTTAATGACATCCCAACAAGGTTTCATGGCATAAGACAGATGAAAGCTCTTTCTTAAAAATAGCCTTTTAGTAACAACTTAACAGAGCTTAGAGTGTATTCTTTTTTTAATATTTTCAACAGTGGGAAACTACTGAGTTGAATGAATTCTGTTTTTGGGGAAAATATCCAAAAACACTTACTTTTAAGAGATATTAGTAACTCCATTGTGTAAAAAAGAAATGTCACTTCAAAATGGAGCTTTGAAACCTATTACAAAGGAGGCATTCCAAAAATCTGAAGGAAGAGTTATACTGGAGTAAACACATGGCTTCCTTAGGAGATAACTCTGATGAAATTCTTTTAAATATGTAAGTTCTAACCACACCTGTTTTGTTTTTTTCCAAATTAATCTCAATATTTTTTAGTAAATCACAAATGTAATAAACTATTTCTTCAATTCTGATAAGACAAGATATAATATTTATTATTATTCTGTAGAATAAAACTAAAATCATGAAGTCCTGTCTCCAAGGATCTCTTGGAAAATAGGCAGCCATTTATGGAAGACATTCCTCTGTCACACTGAGAACAAGGAAAATGAACCTCACATACTGTGGACCACTGGGAGAGAGTGGAACATCAAAGACAGCTGAGATACTCATTAGGTAACAATTTAGGGTTAAGCCTTCATTTAGCCAGGGGAGGATAACCTATACTTGAGGTCATTTTAGAGCACTTCAATATTTATAGAAAATCCAAAACCACTGAAATCAAAGTTAAAATGCCAAACAGTGAAGGTAGGTAAATGTTCCAGAAGAGCAAAGAAGAAGTATGACTCATGGAAGACATGGAAGCTCAGAGCTATACAGTGATTGTGTGCAGTTATGGGAAGCCTACACTCCAGATATAATAAAATACCCAAGTACTCACCACCCAGAACTAGGAGATATTATCATTATCATTTTTACTATTGTTTTTCTAGTAAAACAGCTTGACTTTTAACCTTCTCAGGTACACTCCTTTCTTCCAGCACTGAAAGCAACCATAATCTTAAATTTGATGCAAGAACAGTACACCTTTCTTTACTTTTACAAGATGCACAGATATCCATAAAATATACATAGTATTATTCTCCATGTTTTCCAAATTGCATATAAGTAGAATTATAATGCTTATGTCCTCCAACTTGCCTTTATCCCACATTATTTCCGAAATCTATCAATCATGATAAATTAGCTTGCTTACATTTCATACAAATAAAAAGTAGAGTACAACCAGTTGCCTGACATAGTCTTATAGGAAACAAATCAGATTTTCTTTAAAAACACAAACTAAATTAAACTGACATATTTCAGACAAAATTATCAGAAAGTATAAAGAAGGCAATGAGTCAAAATGAGAAAACTTTTATAAGATATATCAATGTTATATTTTTGATTGTGTATTACCTCTGCTATAAACCTTACCTCAGGCTGTCCTATTCCAAGTAGAGAAACAGCAAGTCCATAGACTACTAAGACATAGTTAATCATGGCCAGGTTCAATTGCTGTCAACAAAAATGCTTTTGTTAAAAATCTGAACATATTTCTTCCCACATTGCATCATCCTAACCTTTTATTCACAATAGAAAAAGAAGTGTAATAAAATCTCACTAACCATGATTGGGCTAAAGGCTAAATAGAATTAGAAAGCATATTTTGCAAAGATAAATAGTTATATTGTTATCAAGTATTAAAAACAAAGAATCGGCAGTTTTTCTTCTTTGAAAAACTTGCCCATAGTAGGTCTTTCTGCATGAATTTTCCTTTTTCTCTTCTTTCTCTAATAATTTTCTTTGCTTGAAAACTTTGCTGGCTGCTCTAAAATTCATTTTAGAAATGAGTCAAAGAATCCATGGGTCTTGTAGTGCACCCCACTCAGCATCATCTGGTGCCCAACGTGCAAGCTCAGCAATTGCCAGCATCACATGGTCTGTAACTTTGGCAGCACTAGTTTCTCTCTCTCTCTCTTAGAATAACTTCTAATTAAAGTAATATTCTTATGTACATAAGGGGTACCAGTGACAGATTAAGATATTTGTTCTCCTACAACCTTATCTAAGCTACATATATACCTAGCTAGTACAGACATACCACAGAGATATTAAAGGCTTGGGTCTAGATCACCAAAATAAAAATACTGTAATAAAGTGAATCACAAGAAGAGTTTTTGTTTCAAGTGCATATAAGAGTTACCTTCACACAATACTATAATCTATTAAGTTGCAACATTATGTCCAAAAATAATGTACACACCTTGATTAAAAAATGCATTATAGGCCTGGTGGAGTGGTTCATGCCTGTAATCTCAGCACTTTGGGAGGCTGTGGCAGGAAGACTGCTTGAGCCCAGGAGTTTGAGACCAGCCTAAGCAATACAGCAAGACCTCATCTTTACCAAAAAAATCAGAAAATTCGCTGAGCATGGTGACACACACCTGTAGTCCCAGCTATGTGGGACACTGAAGCAGAAGGATCACCTAAACCCAGGAGGTTGAGGCTGCGGTGAGCCATGATCACGCCACTGCACTACAGCCTGGGCAACAGAGTGAGACCCTCCCCACAAAGCATATATATACATTGTTACAAATGCTAGTAATCATCTAAGCCTTAGGTGAGTCACGATCTTTTTGCTGGTAGACAGTTTTGCCTTGACGTTGACAGTTGTTGACTGATTAGGATGGTAGTTGCTGAAAATTGGGGTTGTGGCAATTCCTTAAAATAAAACAACAATGAATTCTGCTGTATCAATTGGCTCTACCCTTTACAAAAGATTTGTCTGTAGCATGTGATGCTATTTGGTAATGATTTACCCATACTAGAATTTCTTTCAAAATTGGAGTCAATCTTCTCACACCTTGCCACTGGTTGATCAACAAAGTTTATCATTTCCACATAGCATCCTCATAAGGAGCAGATTCCATCTCAAAAAACTACTTTCTTTGTTCATTCACAAGAAGCAACTCCTCATCCTTTCAAGTATTATGAGATTGCACCAATTCAGGCACATTTTCAGGCTCTATTTCTAATTCTAGTTCTCTTGCTATTTCAACCAAACCTATGGTTACTTTCTCCTTTAAGGAAGTAATCCCTCAAAATCATCCATGAGGGCTGGAATACACTTCTTCCAAACTCTTACTAATGTTGATATTTTGACTTCTTCCCATGAGTCAAATGTTCTTAATGGCATCTAGAATGGTGACTCCTTTCCAAAAGGTTTTCAATTTACTTGGCCTAGATCCATCAAAGGAATCACATTCCATGGCAGCTATAGCCTTATAAAATGTGTTTCTTATCTAATAAGACTTGAAAGTTGAAATCACTCCTTGATCCATGGGCTTCAGAATAGTGTTAGCAGACATGAAAACAACAATAATCTCCTTGTACTTCTCCATCAGAGCTCTTGGGTAACCAGATGCATTATCAATGAGCAGTAATATTTTCAAAGGAATCTTTTTTTCTGAGCAATAGTTCTCAACAGTGGGCTTCAAATATTTAGAAAACCATGCTGTAAACAAATGTACTGTCATCAGGTTTTGTTGTTCTATTTCTAGAGCCCAGGCAGAGTAGATTCAGCACAATTCTTTTTTTTTTTTTGAGTTGGAGTCTCACTCGGTCGCCCACACTGGAGTGCAGTGGCAGCTCCCAGCCACTGGAGCCTCGACCTGCTGGGCTCCGGTGATCCTTCCGCCTCAACCTTCCGAGTAGCTGGAATTACAGGCACGCGCTACCATGCCCAGCTGATTTTTTTTTTTTTTTTATTGTAGAGATGAAGTCTCGCCAAGTTGCCCAGGCGGGTCTCGAACCCATGGGTTCAGGCAATCCACTCACCTCAGCCTCCCAAAGAGTGGGATTACAGGCTGAGCCACTGAGCCCAGCTCAGCACAATTCTTAAGGGCTCTGGAATTAAACGGTAAATGAGCACTGGTTTCAACTTGAGTCACCGGCTGCATCAGCCCTTAACAAGAAAGCCTGTCCTTTGGAGATTTAATGCCAGGCACTGACTTCTCCTCTTTAGCTATGAAAGTTCAGTAGAAGGCTGTGTTGCCTACGTTGAAAATCTGTTGTTAGAGGAGCTTCCTTAAACAAGTATCTTTACTCGATTTTCTAGATAACTTGCTATAGCTTTTACATCAGCTGCTATACCTTCTACTTTTATGTTATAAAGATGGCTTCTTTCCTTAAACTTCATTAATCAAACCCTGCTTCAAAGTTTTTTTCTGCAGTATCCTCAACTCTCTCAGCCTTCACAGAATTAAAGAGAGATAGGGCCCAGCTCTGGATTAGGCTTTGGCTTAAAGGAAGGTGTGGCTGGTTTGCTCTTCAATCCAGACCACTAAAACTCTATGTTAGCAATAAGGCTGTTTCACTTTCTTGTCATTCATGTGTTCACCGGAGTAGTACTTTTCATTTCCTTCAGAAACCTCTTCTTTGTATTCTAAACTTGGTTAACTGTTTGGTGCAAGAGGCCTAGCTTTCAGCCTATCTCACCCTTCAACAAGCCTTCCTCATTAAGCTTAAACATTTCTAACTTTTGATTTAAATTAAGAGATGTACACCTTTTCCTTTCACTTGAACACTGATAGAACATTATCGGGTCATTAACTGGCCTAATTTCAATACTTTTGTGTCTCAGGAAACAGAGAGGCCCAAGGGGATAGGGGTAGCTATAACTGGTCAGTGAAGAAGTCAGACCACATACAACACTTAAGTTCTTATATGGGCACAGGTTGTGGCACCCCAAAACAAGTACAATAGTCACATCAGATCACTGATTACAGATCACCATAACAGATATAGTGATAATAATAATGAAAAGGTTTGACACACTGTGAGAATTATAAAAATGTAACACAGAGACCAAAGGGAGCACATACTTTTGGAAAAATCACACCAACAGACTTGCTCAATGCAGGATTGCCACAAACCTCCAATTTATAAAAACTGTAATATCTACAGAGTGCAATAAAGTTAAGCACAATAAAACAAAGTATGCTTGCCCTTTCTTTCTGGACGAAAAGATGTGATTAAAGTGAGTCCAAATCCTTGATTTAATACTCTAATAATAGAAAAAGTCAGTTCTAATGGCCCCAAATCAAGATGAGAGCATAAACATGGATCAAACAATGAACATAACCTTAAGGTTTGAACTGAAGTAGTACCTACTTTCCACAACCTGAAGTAGTTTCAGTCGATCTCAGCAAGGTCTAAGGTATGTTAATAAAATGAGTTAAAAAGCCTTGATTCTCTCTTTTCCTACATTCATCTGAGATGCATTAGCCCTGATAAACAAGTTATAATACAGCAATTTTACCTTTATTTTCTGAGGATCTAAGCCATCCAGCAACTCTGTAAAGGCTTGTGCAGCACTGCGGCAACGTTGCTCCAACAAAGCTGCATAACCATCTTGAATTAAACTTCTCAGCATCTTCAGTATATTAGCAAAATCCTGCAAAAAAATATTTCAGTAATCAATAACCTATACACTTTTAATATAAAACAAAAGATGCCACATATTAACAAAAACTCTGCTGGTTTCCATCTAACACATCAAAGTTTAGGAGAATGCTCTCCCAAAATATGTATGGAAAAGAGCAGCTCTCACATAAACTTGACTTTTGTTATAGTATTTAAAAAGCTCAATGATGGCCATATTTTTTTTTTTGAGTTGGAGTCTCACTCTGTCACCCAGACTGGAGTGCAGTGACCGCTCCCGGTCACCGCAGCCTCGACCTGCTGGGCTCCGGCGATCCTTCCGCCTCAGCCTTCCGAGTAGCCGGAATTACAGGCGCGCGCTACCACGCCCAGCTGATGTTTTGGTTTATTGTCGAGATGAGGTCTCGCTGCCCAGGCGGGTCTCGAACCCGCGGGCTCAGGCAATCCACTCACCTCAGCCTCCCGAAGGCGCGGGATTACAGGCTGAGCCACCGAGCCCGGTTGATGGCCATATTTAAGATATAAATTTGAAGTTACAGAAGATGGCATGCTATCCTCACAAATGCTTTTTATTAGTCTTGTATAAATTAAATCAGTTTTCATCTCTTTCTCATTCTTCTTTTTTTTTTTGAACAAGATGAAGTCTTACTATGTTGTCCAGGCTGGAGTGCGTGGCTATTCTCAGGCACAATCAAAGCACACTGCAACCTCAAATTCCAGGGGTCAACCAATCCTCCCGCCTCAGCCTCCTGACTAGCTGGGACTATAGACATGCGCTACCATGCCCAACTTTCTTTCTCATTCTAGAAAACAGATTCATATAGCTTCATATTTTTAATGGAAGTTATTCCTTTCAATACAATACAATATAAATGATCTGTACTGAAAGCTCTACCAGAGCAGGATGAATCACATCACCATACACCAAGTATCTCTGTCTTTAGCACATGGGAGCATTAATAAAAATGTGTTGAAAAAAAAAAGAAGCCTCAAAAATAACTATCAGGCTGGGCACAGTGGCTCACGCCTATAATCCCAGTACTTTGGGAGGCTGAGGTGAGAGGACTGCCTGAGCCCAGGGGTTCAAGACCAGCCTGGGCAACTTGGCAAGACCTTGTCTCTACAATTTGCCAGGCACCTGTAGTCTCAGCTATTTGGAAGGCTGAGGTGGAAGGATCGCCTGAGTCCAGCAGGTCAAGATTGCGGTAGCCATAACCGTGCCACTGCACTCCAACCTGGGTGACAGAGTGAGACTCTGACTCAAAAAAAAAAACCAAAGAAAAAAGAACTATCATATTTATTTAAATAATCTTATCATCACAAGCTGTCTTCTATTTAAGTCCTTCATGGTTTTTAGAGTCAGTAAAATCAATGTAAGAAATAATTTAAAAATCTCCAACTGTAAAAAATCCTCAAAAAATACTTTTAAGCAAATTATTAGTAATATATTTGTCCTTTAAGAGATCCATTATGTATACCTAAAAAATGAACCACGTATTATAAAACAAATATTCTAGATTTTCATCACTAAAAAACATAGAATGAATTTTATACACGGTTATCTGATTAAAGTTAAATCATTCAAAGAATACAAAGTTTGCTCTTAAACAATTATTGAGTAGGTATAATGAAACTGCAAGTTTTTAAATCTTTTAAATTATTCAAATCCTAAAAATATTTAAAGTTAATACTATTGGTAAATCTTTGGGAAGCAATTCTGTAGTGTTAACCATTAGTTAAACCTCTGGCTAGCATAATTATCATGCTAATATTTAAATTTGTGATAGTTTGAATTGTTAGCAGTCATAAATTACATGTCTATAATTAAAATTATTAAAAATTACATCTTAGAGACGTACATGACTAGAACTTTATTGATGTGAAAATGTTTTGTTCAGAGTTTTACTTTTTCCATTGTAAATGTCTTCTCCATTACCTGGCGGGCAGCTCTGGAAGATTTAGAAAACTGTTTTTCCAAGATGTTTTTCCAATCTATTGGTAAAGTCAATTGTGAACTAGAACTAAAAGAGAAAAGCGTTTGTTTTGAATCATTTTAAAATAAAACAGTCTGACATATAAAGAAAAAATGTATTTACTGAGTAAATGGAGAGTCACACAAGTTCCTGAATAGAAGTATTACCAAGATGCCAATTCCTCCCTCAAATTAATCTCTAAATACATGCAATCTCAATAAAAGTCCCTATAAAATCAGAGGTAAAAGGAGACCAGATGAACCTATTATAAAGATGATATGGAAAAATAACTTGTGAGGGGAATAAAAGAAAATTTAGGAAGTATTTGCTCTGATCATCAAAAGTTATTACAAATCTGCAGTCATTAGTAACAACCTAGTCTTGAACCAAGAAATGTGCCCAGTAAACAATGGGAAGATGCTCAATATCTCCAGTGAAAATGTACTAATATCACTATTTCAGAAATTCTTACCCCCAAAGTTGGTGAGAGTAAAGAAGATTCAAGCACTCTATATGGAATTTTCAGCATTTTTGACACAAAATGGGTGTTTTTTTTCCCAACACCAAATACTTGACATTTTTCCACATCGATTCAACCATCCAACAACTAAGTAGCCAGTAATGCAACTCAGTTCTGACAACAACTCCCAGAATTAGCATGGAACCCACAGGTTAAAGGCTTGGTCCAATAAGACTGCCCTCACTACTAACATCAGCCACAAGTGGGGTGCCCAGATTATCCACACTTCTGCCCCACCAATTATAAACTTGTGGGTTCCCATGTTCCCCTCTTTAGGTTCACTAGAACAATGCACAGAACTCAAGAAAGCGCTTATTTAATATACCGATGTTTTGTTTTGTTGAGTCAGAGGCTCACTCTATCACCCAGGCTGAAGTGCAGTGGCACAACCATGGTTCACCAGAGCCTTAACCTCCAGGGCTCAGGTGATCCTCCTGCCTCAATCTCCTGAGTAGCTAGGACTACAAAGTGTGCACCACCGTGCTCAGAATATCTTTAAATTTTTTTGTAGAGATGAGGTTTCACTGTTGTTGCTCAGCTATTCTCAAACTCCTGGGCTCAAGCGATCCTCCCGCCTCTCAAAGTGTGCTGGAATTACAGGTGTGAGTCATCATGCCCGACCACTATTACTGGCTTATTATAAAGGATACAACTCAGGAACAACCACAGAGATGAGATGTATACAAAGGCTGGAGGTGTAAGAAGCTTCATGTTCTCTCCAGGTATGCCACTTTCCCAGCACATCGATGTGTTCACCAACCCAGAAGCTCCCCAAACACTTGTTTAGGGGTCATATTGAGGTTTCATTGCATAGGCATATAGGCACAACTGATTAAACCACTGACAATTAGTGACTGAACTCATTTTCAATCTTCCTCCCCTCCTTGGAGGTTGGGTATGGGGGTGAATCAAGTGCTCGGTCTTTCTGATGACCAGACCCCACTCTGAAGCAATCTGAGATATTGCCTCAAGTCATAGCATAAACTCTAGTACAAGGAAAGATGTTCAGTAGGAATAACACAAGACACTGCTTTCATTCAGGAAACTCCAAACATTTGGGAAGCTCTGTGCCAGACACTGAGTCAAACACAATCAATCAATCAATATTAATACCACACCATCTTGTAGTTTGGTAAGAATGTTCATTTTCTGAGAGAAGAGTTTGGTAAAAATCTATCAAAGGTAAAATTATACATCCCCTTCGACACAGCAATCCCACTCTAGAAACAACTTATTCAAATACACACTAACAAGTGTAGAAATGCATGTGCAAGGATGTTTACTAAAATAATGCCTGATTTATCCTCTTCAAAAGAAGAAAAAAAAGAAAGGAAGAGAGAGGTGGAGGAAGAAAAAAAAGTGAAGGAGAAAAGAGGAGCAGAGAGCCTAAATATACAACAATGGGAAATACATCTATACTATAAAAAATGCTGCAGCCATGAAAATAAAGAAGGTAGATTTTATGGCTGATATGGGAAGATAATAAGATATTTTGTAAGATATAAAAAAAAGCAAGCTGTAGGCCAGAGCTATTCTGATAACAATGAAAATGACAGTAATAACAATAATGACAACTGAAGTATACTGAGGATTTACTATATTCCAGGACTCTAAGTGTTTTATGTGGTTATTCCATTTAATCATGAAATAACCCCATGAAGTAGATATCAAATAAGAAGCGTTCAGTTTGAAAGTGAAACACAACATCAGGAAAATAAACTTGCCTTTAACAAAACAGGTTAAATTACAATTGTGCATTTAAAAAATGATTATTTATTAGGATATAGTTTCTTTAGGGATGGAGAAGAGGGCAGGGAAGAAGTCTTAGGATTTTTCTAATAAGTTATAGAATTACATAGTATATTGTGTCCCTGTTTTGTATTTAATTTTTAAAGCAGCATTACAAAATGATCATCTTTGAAAAAACGAGGGCTGTACTAATTTCTCTTCGTGTTTTTGATATTCATATCATTCTCCCTGTAACACCTATCATGGATTTAGCCTTAAGAAATGAAGGAAAGCCGGGCTTGGTGGCTCAGCCTGTAATCCCGCACCTTTGGGAGGCTGAGGTGAGTGGATTGCCTGAGCCCGTGGGTTCGAGACCCGCCTGGGCAGCGAGACCTCATCTCTACAATAAATAAAAAAAAAAAACCAGCCGGGCGTGGTAGCGCATGCCTGTAATTCCGGCTACTTGGAAGGCTGAGGCGGAAGGATCGCCGGAGCCCAGCAGGTCGAGGCTGCGGTGGCTGGGAGTGGCCACTGCACTCCAGTCTGGGCGACCGAGTGAGACTCCAACTCAAAAAAAAAAAAAAAAAAAAAAAGAAATGAAGGAAGCCGGGCTCGGTGGCTCAATCTGTAATCCTGCACCTTTGGGAGGCTGAGGTGAGTGGATTGCCTGAGCTCATGGGTTCGAGACCCGCCTGGGCAGCAAGACCTCATCTCTACAATAAATCAAAAAATCACCCAGGTGTGGTAGCGCACGCCTGTAATTCTGGCCACTTGGAAGGCTGAGGTGGAAGGATCGCCAGAGTCCAGCAGGTTGAGGCTATGGTGGCCGGGAGCAGACACTGCACTCCAGTCTGGGTGACAGAGTGAGACTCCAACTCAAAAAAAAAGAAAAAGAAAAAAAAAGAAATGAAGGAGAGGAGGTGGGGAAGATGGCGGCCGAGCCAGTTGGACTATACGAGTCCCCGTGTGACTGAGTGAGTGTATGAAAAATTTTGTGTATGTGCTGGTGAGCAAGTGGGCATGTGAGTGGATGACTGAGTAAGGGCTAGGGAGCTAGCCGCCAGGGCTCTCCTGTTGCAGCGGCTAGTACCACAGCATCTGGGCTTGGGCCCTAGCGATTCCCGGGACACAGAAGCCAAGTGCCATTGTCTTTCTTTTCCTTTTTTTTTTTTAAAGTCAACAAACCCTCCCTGGCAAGAAAACACTGGGAGAGACTGTCTAAGTGGGGCTCGTGAGTGGGTGGCCCGCTGGTGCAACAGGTGGTGCTGCAGCTTCTCTACTTCGTCTCTGGCTCTTCCTGGGTTGCAGAAGTGGTGCACCATTGTTTTTTTAAAACAGACAGAAGTTTTCCTTTGGAAAAGCCACCGGGAGACACTATTGCCCCAGGCACACCCTCACCATTGAAGCAGGAGAAAGACTGCTCTGGGCTTTGCCTCATCACTTCAGCAGCTTGCAGGGTGCTGGAAGGAGCTGCAGATGGAGTCCAGAGACAAGTTCCCATGGAAGAGGACAAGAGAGGCACCCCCACCATACTGAAGGCAGGGCAGGAAAATGCTCTGACTTGCTCACCATGGATCAACAGATCCGATCTCTGTGACTAGCAGATCAACTACTCAGGACTTGATCATGGCCCAAAGGGAATATCCTGAGAGCACAAACTTCAGAAGGACCTGACAAGTGCTGAGTTCCAGGAGCCCCACCCCTTACCCTGATCCAGCTGTGGGGCAAAGGGTGTGGCCAGAAAAGGTGGAGTAAGAACTCCAAAGAGATCAGTGGTGAGTCCAGGGCTGACCCAAACCCCCTACTCCCCAGAAATCCTCTGAACATCAGACCCAGACAGCTGGGCCACGACTGAGAGGGACAAACCCAGGTGGAGCCTGGACGTCAGTTGCAATAGGAGAACTCCATTTCAGGATAGGTCTGGCTGTGCCACCCCAGTGACAGTACATAACTGGGGAAGAGACAGTCCCGTACATCCCTACTAGAGATCTCTCTGACCATACCAGAGTGAGAGGGGAAGCCTGTAGCCCCACCCACCTCCACTGCCCCTCCTCTGTCCCTGCTTCATTTCCTGAGGAGAGACTGAAAGAGGGCTCTACAGGAGAGACCCGATTAGAGGAACAATTACAGAGCCTGCCACAAGAGGGCAGGTTTTTTTATTGGTTTGTTTTTGTTTTTTAAATTTTTGATTATTTTTTAATTAAAGAAATTTTTTTGACAGTCTGCTTGTTAGTTCATCTATTTTTAAAATATTTTTCCTTTGTGCATGAATGTGTATATGAGGGTTTGATCTGCATATCCTTCCAAAAAAATATTTTTTTAATTTTTCTTTTTCTGTTTCTTCTTTTATTTGTCATTTTCTGTTTATGTGTGTATGTGAATGATTGAGTGTTCATCTTTTGATTTTGTTGTGGTTGTTGGTTTTTGTTCTTTTGTTCTTCTGGGTCTTTTTTATATTCATTTCTTATAGTTTAAGGGGTATGGCAACAGATGTGTGAGGGTTCAACCTAAGTCCCCCCCTACCTTTTTTTTCCCCTTCGGTCTTTCTGTTTTTCTTCTCTATTCACTTTGTGCTAGGCATGTGTGTGTGTGTGTGTGTGTTTAGTTTCTTGGGGGTCCTTTTGTTGCTGATTGTTTCGTTTCACTTTGCTGTTATTCCAGTTTGTTTTGGAGTGTGTGTGTATGTGTTCAATTGCTTCTGCATTGGTTTCTGCTTTGCATCATCATATAGAGTGGTAGTGGGGAGTGGGTCTCAGGGAACACATACCACAATAAGTGAACATTTTAATTTGCAAGTAGC